CCTGGTGGTTAACCTCTGCAGGGAGACAGGAAGCAATGGGAAAACAGGGAAACCCACATAGCTGTGCTCCTCCTGGACTTGTGACCAGCCAAGGTCACCTCTCCCAACCTATTAATTTGGGGGTTGTAAAGCCTAAAGATACAGAGTCTGCAGTGACAATATTTATGCAGCCTTCAGAGCAAGCACTGCACAGACATTTAGAGGCACGTTAACCTGCACAGGATTGTAGAGCCAGATGTAGCACACTGCGGGGGGTGAGGGGGGAAGGGGGCAAAAAGGGGGGCAAGTGTCAGGGCAGAAAAAGCAGGCAGCCTGCTGCCCCCAGCTCCATGCCCCATCACTCACCGCTGCCTCCAGACAGAGGAATTAACTCCTGCCGCAGTGGGCAGGACCAGCCCCGCTGGTGCAGGCACTATATATAGCTAGCTGCTGCAGCTCAGGTAAGTGCTTACTAGAAGGGATGCAGCAGATCCAAAATGTGACCCAGCAGAGCTCACATGAGCCAGGCAAACTGCTTCTTGCTCTCCTCTTTTCATGCCCAAGAGCTGCTGGGCAACAAACAGCAGAGCTGCAGCAAGCACAGCACCCCAAGCTTATCCTCCCACCAGCCACAGACACTGGAAGCTTCTGTTTCAAGCGCCGTTAGGGAGATACCTGGAAATTGGTCTGGACTTCGCTGTTGAGGGCACAGCTGCCCACAGGGACACACTCCTGGGATGCCCCTGCTAGCTGGGGAGCTGTTACAGACTAGCCATACCGGCAGGAGAGGGCAGGCAGCTTTGCTTTTACTATGAAGAAATTTAACTCTATCCCAGCCAAAACCAGTAGAGGGAGGCTGGTACAGCTCTGCCAGCCAGTGCTGTTTTGGTCAAAAGCCCGTGGGAGGGACCATGCTGCAGAGATCCTACCTTGAAACCGGCCTTGACCTGACTACACTGGCTAGTGTAGTAATGAGCAGGCTGGTGCTCTGTGAACCTTCTCCTCCCAGGGAGCTCCCACAAAGAACTTCAAAGATAAATACGAGACCAAGCAGGTCTAACCTCACTCTAGCAGGTAACCCGATGCTCCCAGCATTGCATGAAAGTCCAGCAAAACCCCCAGACACACTCCCAGAGATCACACAGCAGCTCCTAGCTTGTCGACAAGCTGCAGGGATGCTCAGATACTTAGCAACCTCTTGAGTTGTTTGGGTGGTGGGAGTGAGTTTGCCTGTTGGGGTAGGCTGTATAATTTCCCTCCTCCCCAGACTCCTGAGCACTCTCTCCTATTTCTTGCAGTCAGAGGCTTTGCAGCAGCTCCGGAAGGATTCAGAGAGCATCCGGAGCAGATATGCACACTACTTTGACCTCTCGCTGGTCAACAACGGGGTGGAAGAAAGTCTCCAGCTGCTGCAGGAAGCCTTTGAGCAGGCCTGCAGCTCTCCACAGTGGGTGCCCATCTCCTGGGTCTACTGAGAGGGCATCCAACCCCAGCTGCTTCCCATCAACCACCTGCAGCCATGGGGAGAAACCTTCTCAGCTTCCCCTGATCCACACACAGCCCAGCACAACTCCCTTCCTCTGCTGCTCCATAGACATGGTCTCAATTGGTTGACACACACACAGGGCCTCTGGATCTCCTCTTCCAGGGAACACAGAACAGGGGCTACCCAGGGGTTAGCCGCCTCCTGGAGCACTGCAATGCAGTGCTAAGTTAATGGCTACAGCAGAGTCCAGGGCATCCTGTTAGCTCAGAGCACAGCTTCCTGCCTCAGCACTCAAGTGAAAGCACAGTCCTGCTGTAGCACCCAGCCAATCTTCTCTGCATCAGTCCCAAGGGAAGTGGCAGAGCAGGGACTTTCCAGGCAGATGTCCCCTGCCATTGCAGGAATGAA